CCACTTCGAACTTGTGGGCCCGAAATGATTCCGTGTCGAATTAAGTGTACATGGAAACAGCGCGAGAAATGGCAAAGTGAAATTGGGGGAATGTGCATTTGCCATATACGTAAAAAGAAGAAAGTACGCATCTTCCCCTTTAGAACGTGCGATTCATAAGCCCAAATCGCCATCATATCACTCGCAAGTAAGAAAAGCAAACGCCGGATTCGTTCCATAATTCTACACAACGTTTGCCCACTCCCAGATGCCTGACACAGAGACAACATCCCAATGCAAGGGCTGACGGTTGGGAAAACCTGCCGCTTTTAAAAGCCCAACATCCTTTCTTTCCCAACGCCCAATTGCTGTCTTGACTGTTGTGGTCTTGAAAATGGGATTGCCAAACCGCCATCATCTCTCGCTTTTCCCCACCACATTCGTTTTTTCCCAATTGAATATCATATATGCGTTTATATATCGAATATAAGGCGACCGTTTCGTTCAAAAAAGCCGAAACACGTGTCGTGATGCGTGAACATGTCCGAGTCTAGTAGACCTTCTTCTTCTCGTCGACGGAAAATTGGCCGGGGCCCATGTTGACCAGCAAGAGGAGACCGCCACTGGACAATTATTAGCAATGGCGCTTGTCGATAGCGGAAATGGGGTAACTTACACAATGGACAGGATTTGGAAGAAGTCGTACTTGGCAAAGTCCTTGTGGGGGTGGTGCGGGTGCAGTTTCCACCAATTGTTAACGTAAAGGTTGAAGACGCTGAGAATAAGCACGAGCATAACAGCCGAGAACTTTGCCTTGAAGCCCACAACCACCATGACACACGCCACGAGACCCAACAGACTAGCAATGATTCTCCAGAAGCCCCAGTCGCCGCGGAACACGAATCCCACAAAGAGGAAGATGAGCAGGACGCGGCCGGCGAGCTGGAAGTACATCTTCTTGTCCTTTTCGTCGAGCTGGGGAAGGCCGGCGGGCGCAAACTTCTTGCGCACCCACGAGTCGGAGAGCACCATGAGCAGACCGCCCATGACGGACAGGTTGCGCAGGAAGAAGTTGAGGTCGAAGACGAGGCCGTAGCCGATGCCCTGGAGCACCACGACCGTCATGAGTCCCGCTACGCTGTATTCGGAGTACTTTCGGAAAATGACGCCGAAGGAGCAGACGGTCATGAGGACGATGTTGACGATGAGGAACATGTGCGTGACGCCGTTCCAGACTGCAGACAGAGAGAGACCGTGTTAGCCAATGTTCACGCGCTGCTGCGAGAGGAGGGGTAGAGACGTACTGTGGCGGTAGTCGTGCAGGTACGTGAGCTGGTCGGTCCATTGTGTGATAATGCGCAGGGCATCTTCGAGGAAGGTAACGACGATGAGGAAGCGGCCGATGCCAGGGAGGTATCTGGAGCGATTAGCCGGTTTCCAGGCGGGCAGCGTCGTGGCACCGTTCTGAGACTCACGGCTTGATGGGGTCGAAGACAGTGTCCAGCAGGTCCTCGAGCTTGCTCGTCTGGGCGCGCAGTTGGTCGAGCGGACTGGGGTCGTTCGTGCTGTTGTCGTTGCGCCCCGAGTTGCCAAAGGGGCTCTGGTTGCCCAAATGGTAGCCAGCGGTGCCGCGTATCTGCGCCATGGCTGGTGGTGTAGTAGAGAAGAAGAGAGGGTGGGCGGCGGCAGGTGTAGAGGTGATTGGGTTGCGCTGCTCCGAACAGGTGTCCTTGACGCGATTGACCTTCGGAACGTCAGATTATGTCAGCGGCCTAACCCTTTGCGCCTTACTTTGATGTGTTGAGTCTCACTACTTTCTTCTGTTGCAGGCTAGTAAATTGCAGGGTGGGATTGCTAGCTGGCAGTTGCGCGTGATGGTGAATATATTGAATTGCGTCGTGTGGGCTGTTCCCAGGATTGCTGCGGCGCTGGTTCCTCGGTTCGCGCAACCTACTAGAGTACTACTAAGAGGCCAGATTTCTGCTACTCGACTCTGACTATGGCGTCAGGAGTAGCAGTCGGTACGAAATACCTCCGGACCAATCTTGACTAGCTGATTCACGACTTGGCACGGGCACTTTCAACACGGTGGAGCACGGTTGTATTTATAGCTTTCACCAACGCACGGCTGTACTGCAGACACAGGTGTGGGAGGTTTTGTATGAGGAGCTGCAATTCAACAACTACTTTTTCTACCTGCGCGCCTCAACAGTCATTATTCCAGCGTTGATGTTTAAATGTGGTATTGAAGTACAGGACGCGAATGCAAGAAGCCTTTGCAATAAGATCAGATGCAACCCCATACGCCGATGCTTCCATGGCCTGGATAGCAAGTAGTGGAAGGAACCCATCCGATGATCCAGCCATACCCATGCTTACAAGGACAATTCCACCGTCGTATGAGCTATGCCCGTCCGTCATGCCAAATATGATGCTATCGTGATGAAGGTTGGAAGAGGTCAGATCAACGCCTGAAGATCTCACGTGCGCCAACAGCCATCAATAGGATAGAAATCGAAAGGTGTATCGTCGTCCAGGGTACGTAAATGTACCCGAGGTCCTGAGACCAGCTGCTGGCTGAGTCATGTTTGCCCGCTTCACATGACAGCCCAGTCATCGGCATCGTCGCCAGTCTTGGGGTTGAACTCCTCGGCAAGGATCTGGTAGCGAGAGCTGGGGTTCTTGTTCTCCTTGATGGTTTCAGTCGGTCGAACTGGCTTGGCAGACTGTTGGGGCTTCGTGGCGGTGGTGACTTCGCTGAGCTCTTCAGCAAGCTCCTCGTTGACGGTCTTGCGCTTGGGCTTTCCGCCCTTAGGAACGGTGGTCCAGGCAGAGTCCTCCATAGCAAGCCTCATCTGCTCTTCCTCTGAGGGTAGGGTACTGACAGGGGCAGCGGTCTTGGCAGCGCCGTTGGTAGGGGCGGCAGTCTTGGTAGCGGTTTGGACAGGAGCCTCGAAGGTGTCGAGAAGCTGACCAGACGAAGCGGCCTTGGGAGGCTGGACGGCACTGCGAGAAGGCACCTCGGTCCAGGGGTTGGAGGCGGGGGGCTTGCTCTGTCCGAGACCGTTCTTGGCCGGCTCACCGCGCGCCTCACGAGCGACACGACGCTGCTTCTCCTCGAGAGCCTTGCGCGCCTTCTCCTCTTCCTCGCGCGCGGCCTTGGCCTCCTCGACCTTCTTCCTGTTCTGGCGCTGCTTCTTGGACTCGGTCGCGACCTCGGCCTTTTGTGTCTGAGCCTTGACCGACTTGGCTGGCTTCTCGGAGGGCTTGATGCTCATGACAGCGGGCGAGGCGGCGCGCTCACCGAGCATGTCGGAGACGTCCTTGCCGCTCGGGGCCTTGTTGGTGTAGGCGGCGGGGGGCTCGACGGCGCTGTCGTCGGCAGCCTGCTTGGGGGCGGCTTGCGAGATGGTCGCGGCGGCCTTGTTGCCGGCATCCTGGACGGCCGTCTTGACCGACTTGCGAGGGGCCTTGGGCTTTGCAGCCTTTTGTGCCTTGGGCTTCTTCTCTGGGGTGTCCCAGCTGACTGCCTCCTTGAGCGAGCTAGTCGTCGACTTGCCCGTGGTCGAGCGTCCTCGGGTATCCGCCGTGTTGCCCTGGTGCATGTAGTACCAGTAGGCGGCGCCTCCAATGGCCAGGAACACGACCCAGCTCATCCACGGCTCCATGATGCAGGAGGTGTGGTATGCAACGCTTCGAGGGTGCGGTGGTAACTACTGCAAGACGTCCAATGTCAACACGGTACGATGGGTCAATGGGTTGGGGTGGAAGTGGCAGGCAGGTGAGGGAGCAGAGGGCCAGGGCAGTAGGATGACGGAGTATAGGGAGAGGGAAAAGGGGCTTACAGGTAATTGGTTTTGTCTTAGCCCGGGCGTCGTAACGTGTGAAATTGACGCGTCGCACCGGCTGCTCTGCTCAACGGTTTCGATGGCGTTGCGAGAAGAGGCCAGGTAGGTCTTGATCCGCTTCGGGAGCTACTCAACCGTCGAGTGCAACCGCCGAATCGCCCACTTGACACGGGCGGCGCAGCTTGGGGGGTTGGGTTGATTCACGTGCTACACATTCACATCGACTCGGCGTTGAGGCTAACAATGTAGGGCGGGAGACGGGGAATTGCTGGAGGTGGCAGAGTGAAGGCGCTCCATGTGGTAGTGAGCTTAGGAGTGCTCCCCCGTTCGGGATGCCACTAAGCAGGGGTCGACGGAGGCGCTGCAGCGGGTGAGTGCGTCACAGCGAGATGATGATATTTCCCGAATACTTCTAAAGACATCTATTCATCGTCCCATATATCCCGCAGTGTATTACTCGCCTGTCTTGCCATCGCATCTCAACAGCTTCCTGCGCGCCCACGAACAACCCGTAAAGGACACGAAGCATCAAGCACCTCGCGCGCGGAGGGCTAACTCCGAGTCCCGACACCCCCGACGGCGGCCTCTAACGTTTTAGGCGGCTGAACACCAAGCCATTCACAAGCCACTCACACGCTATTCATCATCTGCCGCTGCGTCATTGGCATCTCGCTGATATTGCACCCTCGCACACAGCTGCATCTACACTCTGTGCCACGCCCTTACTTTATCTAGTACTTGTGCTCGTCTGCTTAGCGCAGCAGGAGTGATGCACGTGTGGCTGTCTTGAGGAGTGACATGTGAAAGGCTTGGTATCGCCTTGCAGTACTCGACTTCAGTCGGGAATAACAGAGAGGATTGATTGAGACCAACAAATATGACTCGATCGTTGACATTATTATAGCTCCACCGTGTATATCCAACATTATCCTACAAAGCCATGAAGCCTACATACTCATAACTCGTTATTCATCAGGCTCCAAGAATGCCAGCCCAGATACCTCAGGACTTGGCTCGACCAAACCGTATCCCCGACTTCAAAAACGAAAGAGGAGGGAGAATCCGTAGAGCACCTTGATATCCGTGCCTCAACCACGCCTCTTCGCAGCAGCCCCCTGCCCACCATTCTCACACTTCCTCTTCCTCCCCCCACCTCCCATCTCGCTATTCGCACTAGAACAGCGACTCATCGGCGGCGTCGCAGGCTTCATCGGGAACAGAATTCCGTTCGGCGAGACATTTCTTTGTTGTAACGGTGGCGACGGCATCCTCTGTGCTTGACCTCCCACCGCCGCCGCAGCTTGTTGCTGTTGCTGCATCCGTTGCTGAGCCAGCAACGCCGCCTGATTCCTCTGCGCCATCTGCATCTGCCTCGCGATATCGCCCAAACCCGGTCCCACGATATTCCTATCACCGATGATAGTCGCGCCGCAGTTGACCGTGATATTGATGTTGGAATAGCGCTTCACGCCTCTAACCTGCGTCGTAGACGTACACTCCCCCCGTGCTGTCGCTGTCGCCTGCGTCGTCGGACTCTCTGGTGTAATCGGCCTGCCAGCCGCATCACTCTCCTCCCCTATCTTCCCCGTCTCAATAGCCTCACCACTAAGTACAGTAGCAACAAGATTCGCTATCCTCACACTATCCATCTGAGCAATGGAGATGATGTTCCCGTGGCCCCGGATCTGTGTTGCGGCGTTGATTGTGATTTCGGGTGTGTCGTCTGGCGTTTCTTGAGCGTCGCAGTCTTCTTCTTGGGGGTCGTAGGGTGATGTCATGTTGGGGATGGGGAGGGTGGGGTCTACGACGGTGTGGTAGGCCGGGGGTGCTGGACTGTCTTCTTGGTATGATTGGTATGATTCGGAGTGTGCAGGTAGTCTGGTATTTGGTGTGGATGATGGGGTGGTGTGGAGTGTGGTGGCTTTTGCGGTGGATACTGCTGCGGTGTTGTTGCGAAATGGGTCCATGGCATATATCAATGGATGTTTCTTTTGGCCAAGGAATCGGTTCTCGTGCCTTGGAGAACAGCGTCTGTGGGTATCGTGATCGTGGGGTTGTGGCGTGATGTTGGTGTGACGGGTTAGGCGGCAGTCATGCGAGTTCGGTAACCGTACTGGCAAATGTTGATGGTTAAACGCTTTGCCGGTAGATGTTGCGCGACCACGAAGATGGATAGGAAGCTGCAATAAACTGGTATATTATCGTGATATGACGATGTAGTAATGCTGTTGATGCCGTTTGCTAGTTGGTATTGGTCTCCTCTCGTTGTTTGCAGAAGGACTCTGTCCCACGTCAGTAAAGCCGTGCATCGAAAGTCCACCCAAGAAAAGAATCACCACTCACAGTCAAACCTCAAATACCATGCTCCCCGAAGCATGCCACCACACAACCTATATATACCCACCCACCCGCTGCAGTGGACGCCCCAATCCTCCCGCGTCCGCCCGCACTTCCGCCTTATTCACACTTGCGCAGCCTGCACCCCCACACCTGAAACACCCAACACAATACCTAGGCACAATAGGAAGCAACGACTGCATACCGCGACAACACAAACACTTGCGCCACATAGCTACTTACTGCATAATAGCTAGCAGCAGTGCTAGTCTAGACCCATTACCGGCAATCAAGTTTGCGTACCGGGCCTTTGCGGGATGGATCCATTGTTGCTATTGTGCTTCAATAAACGGTGGTGCTAGGCTGTTTTCGGGTGGTGTTTGACTGTGGCAGCATCATCGCAGCCGAGGATTGGTTGACTGGTGCGCGGTATGACGAGCCGCGCATTTAGAGGATGGGAGGATTTTATTGTGACTAGGTACGTAGGTGGGATGAATGTCTGGGGTTAGCGAATGTGTGCGAGGGAACGTATGAGGTGTGTGGATCGTGATGATTGAATAGTCAAATACGGCTAAGCGCGCGTGTACAGCCTTGCCGTAGCTGGAATGACAATAAGGATGGGGATCGTGATCAACGATTCGGTACTTCAGCATACCTGTATAAACCACCTCATTGGTTGCCAGGTACCTACCTGTGTAACACAAGAATCCATCCGTCACGTTCCTTCTCTGCAACCTCCCTGGCCATCATCACGTTCCCACCTGCACCATCTGTGCAACGTCGTACGAAACCGGGTAAAATGTATGCTGGTCGTTTCTTCCTTGATCAAGTACCCAGGTAGCCATCTGCGCGTTGGTTGGGTGGTGCATGAGTCCTGCACTATTTCGCTTGCTATTGTGTTTCTATTGAACACGACGCCCATGGATACCTACCTAGGTACGTTCAGCACGTGAGGTGGTGAAGCTAGGGTGTGAGAAGCGTTGATGTACGTGTAATGAGACATGTGTGTTGGCTCATGCGTTGGATGTCTAGGAGTCATGATGATCGGGGATGCAGATGGGTGGATGACTAAGTACGTGGATGGTGGGTGACGCTTTGGGTGCACAATAGGAAGATGGAGTGGGACAATAGGATGGGATTGGAGTGGTGCCACATATGATCAAGTTTCTTCGCGGTTTCGTGATACGAATGTGAGGCCAAACTTCTTCCCCATACAAACGACAACCTTTGCATCTTGAACTAAAAACACCTGGGCAGAGTCTTGCAAACCTGATGTCCAAAGTCGTATTCGTACAAAAGCTTAACACCATAGCTCACGAACTCCTCCGAAAAAAAGCCACTTCGCTGCATTCCCCTCAATACGAAACCACGATGCTTTGACACGCCACCCACGCGCACTCCCACCGCCATGAGCGCCACGCAACGTGCCCAAATCCGGCGCTCTTCTGCGCTCACCCTCAATAGCAGTCTCCACATCGACAAGAAGAGTCATGATAGGCTGAATGCGATACGAAAAGGACGCGTGGCCAAGGCAACACACAATAAGGCGCCAAGAGACGGAAGGAAGGAACAATAGGAATGCATATGCACTGCCAGCTAGTAAGTATACACTATCTTGTCCTCTGTCGATCGTACGATTCCTTGTGTACAGTACAGGCAGGGGATATGGAGGGACTGGGAATGGAAAAAGCCGGGCTGTGCCGCATCTTCGATGGCTGAGCCAGAGCCAGTTTGTTGGAGTCAGTCCGCTGCCGTACCCGTACCCGTGTCTGCAAGGCAGACATGTGCCGGTGCGTGCAAACCCAGTCCATGGCACTGGTCCTTCGAAAATGGCAAAGTCCTCCAAATGGGCCTAGACGACGGAAGTTGAACCCAGCCAATTAGGCAACACTATGCTGCAATCCGTAAGGCGACAAGAAAGTTATGTTGTTTTACAAGCTCCTGCTGTCGTGATGAACACGATGTCGAGCCCAAGACGCCACGCTCCATGAAATGCGATAGAACATCAAACACCCACCGGCAGTGTCCAGGAACGGAAAAGAAATGCCGTTCGGATGGATAACTGCGATCCAGGCTGGACCCTAACACCGATGAAGTAAACCCCTTCACAGACAACTGCAAGTCTATCACCGCTGTGGTCGGTACTGTTGGACTTCATGTTGTGGCCGTTCGTGATAGAAGAGGTTTTCCGACCAAGGCGGCAATTTCTTGTCTCGTTCGTAGAGGTAGCCACAGTTGTTGCAGAGAGTGCGTGGGCCTTTTGGACCGTCGCGGACAGCCCAGACGGCAGTGCCCCAGACCCAGCAGTGTGCGCATCTCCATGTTTGTCGCTCCCTGTGGTTATTGTTGTTAGTTCCAATATCACAATGCACAATGCCAGTATTGTCACATACCCTTCTTGGAGCCCTCCACCCTGCCCGCCATAGCCGGATCCTCCTTCGGCGCTTGGCGTGCCTCTTCCAACTGGGCTCAAACTCCTGAATCGTCTCTTCTTTTTGCTGCGCTCGCCGCGGCCCATGTTCTCTTGTCCTTCGATGTTGTTGAAGAATTCGTTCGCGGGCTGGCCCGTCATGTTTGCGGTCGAGGAGAAGCGCGCTGTCTCTCTGCGTAGTCGTCGGATCTGCCTTTCACGGTCCCCCTCGCGCTTCTCGATTTCTTCAGGTGATAGGATTTCAACCTTCGGTTCCCATTCGTCGCAGAGATGCTCTTGGTCGTATCTCCAACCTGCACCAATAGTAGGCTCTACTGCATCGTTGTCGATCTCGCCGTCGCCCACTAATCCGCCATTCTCACAGGCTTCCTTCTTGAGTCGCAGGACTGCTTCGTAGATGCTATGTGTCATGGCGTTCACCCACTCTCCCGATAGCCCCAGATCCGCGCACGTCGTCTTGGCAAACATCTCCGCAAAACCTGGTGGATGTAATAGTGACCACTCGAACTTGTCGGTGTACAATCGGTTCATGAGGTTGATGTTGAGCGTGACGATGCAGCGGTAGGTATCGTCTGGATTGTGGAGCTCCTCCGACGGCATTGCGGTCGCAGTTGCGCTGATGCCATTTGGAATGCCCGCTGGCGTCTGTGCGCCGTTGGTATGCGATACGCCGTTGGTCATAGGGGTCGACGCGCCGTTCGTGGCTGGTACTTGTGGTGTTGAGGTGCCATCGCGGGACGATGCAGGCAGTGCGGTCTTGCCGTTTGTTCCTTGCACAGCGGGCGAGTTTGCAGAGTGGAATAGAGGGTGTAGCGCAACACCAGCATATTCCTCCAACTGCTGCCGAATCTGATTTGCGACTTGGGAGATTATGAGGGGCTTTCGGTCGTTTGGCAAATCTAGTTCATCGACGAACTGCTTTGCGAATTGATCGGGTGTCGTCAAAGCCTCGTGCAGGTTCCAAAGGAACGAATCCTTGAGTCTGTATGCGGGAGTGACGTCGGGTTGTTTGTACGCGGGCAGATTCTCGTTGATGCCGAACTCTCGCGCGTTGGAGGGCGTTGGGAGGGGCGCCTCAGGCCGGAAAGCCTGAATGTCCATGTCTATTCGAATCGGAATCAACGTGACAGGCAAGACTGACTGCGTCTGGACTTGCTTCTCCGTGCTGCACTATGTTAGCCTTCTATTGCGAGATGCGTCCCATGGCTTAATCCTGCCACCATGCCACATACAGTGTGCGCTTCGGCCTGCCCATCCAGTCTCGCCAGATTCCCTGTATATCGACTGGCGCGGTGAGCTCCTCGCCCAGCGCTGCTATTTGCGCCGTGTGGTCTGCGCTGTTCGGGTCGATCTTCTGTACGCTTCGCAGGCCTGTCGCACGTCGCGGCCGATCGCTGTCCTCGAAATCGTCATCATCGTAGGCATCCTCCGCATAGCTAAGAACGGCAGTTCCGCGTTTTGTCACGCGCGGCGCAGGGAGAGTATTCGAGGGCGGGACAATGGGCGATATCAGCGAGTTTCCGTGGCTTCGCAGTCGCGGCGCATAACTCGACATGAAGGCCTGGGGCGGCGCCGTCTTTCCCGTACTCGTAAACATGGCTGTTGACACGGTCGCTGGTCGTGTAGGAGATGTGAGGAAGCTCAGCAGAGCTCGCGAACACTAAACGCGTCGCGATGTCGATGGGGCCTCCGAATGCGGCGAATGGGTCACGGGGTCCGTCAGAAGGCTGGTCGATTCGCGATTACCCCTGCACTGCGACCGATAGGAAAGTCCGTTCGAATTGCGACTGCTTTTGCGCGTCCCTGGCTGGTGACGGATGCTTTCGCGGTTGCGGTCCAGCTAACGTTGCCAAGACGTGCTAGTCCGCAAGCGTCCCAGGGTTCTCAGGGCTGGGGGCTCTTTCCAATGTCTGCCCTTCACCTCACCTGCCCAGGTGCTCACTTCACGATGTATGACAATACCCTTGATGCACCAGAATACACCATCGATGCACCAATCACTGCGCATTATGAACGTTTTGTTGCGGCACAGCGCCCTGCAACCCATAAACACTCTCAATTCATCCACATTCATCAGATCACTATTCCCACGTGCCCAAAGTCTTTCACATGGGCAGTCACATGCACTCTGGACTCGCTTCCTGGGAGCGGAGTGTGGATAGCAAGAGTTGGAAATCTGAAACGCATTATGCCTTCCTTCCGCCTGGGTAACTAGTGGCGCTTAACGGTCTCCACCAGGATATTTCTTGCCGCTGTGCATCCCGGATATATCTTTACGGAACTAGGGATTATTATGACTGGACATCCAATCAAATACATTTCATGAAACAAGAAAGGTAGGAGGTACATGTCTTCAGTGGGCCTTTCGCGGGTTCTTGTACCTGTTCAGGCATCTGCAGTCTTCATCAAGAACTCACGGTCACAGCGCTGGCGCAACGATGGCGCGCGCTAACTCGCCGGGAGACGTTGAATACTCTCCTTCACCTCCCAGCATCAAGTATATAATCCCCAAGCTTTGTCTCATTGTGAAGCTATTGTACATTACGTATTACTAAGGCTATTGTATTATGACTCTACAACGCCGCCACGGTCCTTACCATCGCGCCTACTAAAGACTCTCGTTATTCTTCCTACACAACTCATCGCAAATACGAGCACGACATTCATACCAACTACGCAACTCTACGAGACCTTCGTTTTACTCTTCCAAGAACTACTTGCGACAAGTCTTTGACAAGACATATTCCAATTTCAGACATCCGAACCAACATTTCGACTTACACGGTACATCCCTCAGCTGGTCTAGGAAACAACATGTCTTTCAAGTCGACCATTCTCGCTGCGGCAGCCATGCTAGCCATGGCGCCGCTCTCTGCAAACGCACACATGATTCTCAAGAGTCCCGTGCCATACGGCAATCCTAACAATTCACCTCTCGACGCTTCCGGATCTGACTTCCCTTGCAAGGCCGTACCATACACTGTCAATACCATGAACGAATGGAAGGTCGGTTCATCCCAGACTCTTGCATTCACTGGTACGGCTGTCCATGGTGGAGGTTCATGCCAGATCAGCGTCACCACCGACAAGGAGCCTACAAAGGACTCCGTGTGGAAAGTCATCTACTCCATTGAGGGTGGCTGCCCTGTCTCTGCAGAAGCTAACCTGGATGAATTCGGTCCCAGTCTCGACAATACCTTCAAGTTCGATATCCCCCCAGAGCTTCCTAACGGCGTCATGACAACAGCTTGGACGTGGTTCAACAAGATCGGAAACCGCGAGATGTACATGAACTGTGCGCCGGTTACGGTTTCTGGCGGTGCGGACGACACAACCGCATTCGATGCTCTTCCCGACATGGCAGTCGCGAACATCCCAGTCCCGCAGTCTTGCGGTACGACAAAGGAAAGCAGTGATTTCACATTTCAGAACCCAGGAAAGTACGTGAAGTCTGTTGGCAAAGGCCCTTTCGTGGATCTCTGCACTGGCGCAACTTCGCAGCCCAGCACCGGTGGTGATGCTGGTGGTGGTGGTAGCGGCAATGCCGACGCTGGTGCTCCAGTCGCCAGTCCTCCAGCTGCTAGTCCTTCCCCGGACTCAGGAGCCTACCAACCCGTTGCCACGCCCCCATCTGCCGCGAGCCCAGCTCCAGTAAGCCCCCCTCCCGCTCCACCAGCTGCTCCATCTGGCACCAAGTCCGCCTGCTCACCCAAGCCCAAGCCTGCCGAGTCCACCCTCCGCACGCTCGTCACCGTCACAGCGCCAATGCCAACAAACACCGATGGCGTCTTTCCACCCAACCCAGCAGCCGGCACGGGCACGGCCCCCGCAGCAGCCCCGGCGCCCCTACCAACCGGCCAGTCCCCAGCATCGCCCATCGCGCCCCTAAAACCAACACCATCCGGCGCACCCGCCTCACCCGCACCCGCAAACCCAGGTTCAGACAAAGAAACCTGCTCCCCCGACGGCGCTGTCGTCTGTTCGTCCGACGGTACGAAGTTCGGTCTCTGCGACCACGGCAAGGTTATCATGATCCCCGTGGCTGAAGGCACAAAGTGTGAAAACGGAGCCATTGCTAAACGCGGTGATTACTCGCATCGTAATCAGCGCACTGCTATCTAGTTTGAGACACTGGGTAATTTGTGAAGATGGTTCGTTCGTTTTGTATATACTTGTGTCAGCCGGCTCTGCCTTTTAGTATGTTTTTTTCGGTTTCTTTTACGGGGGATGGTTGGAAGCTTTGGCTGAGATTTTTGCCTGACCTCGCTTGTTGGCTTCGCTGTCGTATAACAGAGGAGTGTTCTTTCGCTTTGAGTTTTGGCGATTGGAGAGGGGTTTTGTGTGTAGATTTGTATATCATGTAATAGTACTATTACTATAAACCCCAATCCTCGTTCTCCTGCCACTCCTATCATCAAGTACTAATCATCCTCCATATCCAGCGTCTAAGGTCCACCAACAGCATAAGGAGTGAACTTAGAACACCCACCCACATCAGCATCACTAGCAATCCTCCAATAAACCCCACAATCATAACTCGTCGTTCCCCTCGCAGCCACACACGACAACGGACACGTCCCATCAGCCGCATTGTAAGTAACCTGGCAAACAGTTTCCTGCAGCCCATTCGCCGTATTACCGAAGAAAACATAAGCGTTCACAGCCGCGGCATTGGGATCTGTTTTGCCGATGGAGCCGGCATCCGGCCCGTTGAGCACTTGCAGTTTGTTGTTGTCAACTGTGGTGAATTGGAGGACGGGGCTGAGGCCCTGCGCATTGCCTACGGTGTTGCCGCCGGCATAACCGATGGGGTTTCCGCTGTTGTCGCCGCCGATGGCGTAGACGGTGAAGGTGGGGATCGCGATGACTTGTTGGGTGCCTGTGATGATGGTTGTGCGCTCGGTTACTGTGGAGGTCTCAGTCGCGGTATTTGTGATGGTGTTTGTGACGGTCGCGGTGTCGGTGTTGGTTGCGGTTGCGAAGATGGTCAGGGGTACCTGTTGGAGGCGTCGGTTAGCAAGGATACGCTGGCTCGTATGGCTGGCAGAGACTTACTGTGACTGAAGTTGTGATGGTGGTGGGAAGGCTCAAAGTCGTCGTGGTAGTCGTGCTAGAGGTGGGCACCGCAAGACATTTGCATGCTGAAGAGAGAGCTTGGCCTTCGATGTAGTTATTGAAGCACGAAGGCTTCTTCGGGGGTACATAAGCGCCGCGCTTTTGTACAGCTCCTGGGGATGCGCATGCAGTGATTGAAGAGTATGCGACAGTATTGATGGTTTCGGTTGTCGTCGTTGTTTCGGTGATGGTGGCGGAAGCCGTTGTGGTGGCTGTGTCAGTCGCCGTAATTGTGTTGGTTGCATCGGTGGTCGTGATCGATCCCGAAGTGATGGTTGCAGTTGCCGTAATGGTCCTGTTTGTTGTGAGCGAAAGATCATGCCGGTGGAGATGGACGTAGTGTTAGCGTACGCAGTGAAGGAAGTCACCGTAGAAGTCTTTGTGACTACAGGGATCTTGAGGTAAGAAGAACAGAAGCTCGTGGCTTGGGGCTGTTGCTTTGCAACAGTGACCAGACCACCAACAATGTCGCAGAACAACTGCGCCACGATCTTGCCAGCAGGCTCAGGAGCTGGATTCCGAGGGACGGATAGAGCGCCAGTGGGAATGGCGAGGCCCATGGCAAGTCCAGCTACGTTGTTGAAGCGCATGATGAAAGTGTACAGGTGTTGGAGGCTCAGTCAATGGAGGAGATGCTGCCGAATGTGCTCTGGTGAAAACAACAAGACGCCGCCCGACAGCATCTTATATACATATTGTACGACATGACTGTTCTCTCCTCGCCCTCTCGCGTTGCTCTAGAACTCAGTCCCTTCGGCACCTTGAGGTCGGTGGAAGCGACGCTATCGGTATGTTGCAGTGCGAAAATGAGGAGCTGAACTCTAGCTGCACGATCTCGACAGCCACCTTTCTCCTCTTCTTCCTCGTCGAGTTAGAACTTCAAGCCACAAAGGTTTGTTCGTGGCCAGAAACAGGAAGACCTGAGTTGTAGGACGACGGTGAAGAATTGTTCAGCCAGCCTCAGATGAGTCCCTAGCTCTGAAGAGCACCCTGCTCTCGCTGGATCTGGAAGCATGTCTGCAGAGCCTCTAGGCGATGTCGGTTTCCAAGTCCCCGTGAGTAAGTAAGCCTGAGAATGCTCGAATTGGTAAGCCTGAAGGCATTGCTTGTGACCTAGACAAGCATAGCTTAATCCGATCCTGGGGCAGGACGCCTATCTAGAACGCTCCATCTGGCCATGATCAACAGAAAAGCCTGACAACCTTAGAATCTGACCTATGATGTTGCGACTGTATCTTGAACCTTTCGAGGCTGTTGGCACGAAATAGTACTAGCGGCATCGCTTCGCCTGGCGCGGTCTGAGTGTTTCCCTTCAATCTGGGGATAAAGCCACGCTAAGAAACGGACCGAAGCTTATTTTACCCTGTGGCAGCTCGCCCGCATTGTTTGTCTTGAGTCTTCCCCGGAATATTCCAGCGCCCACGTTGTGCTCTAGATCTCGGAGCTCCCGTCACGCCAGGATCGAAGGGAAGCACATGACTTGAGTTCTGCAGTTTGAAGGTCTCGAATTTGCTCTATCGTCAAGGGCGCCCCTGCCATGACCCTTGCCTGATCAACTGCCTGCCGCTCGGAAGCATGTGATCCGTGTTATGCTATCCGTCTTCAGCGTGGGAAGCGGAGTACACTCCTACGATGCCGAATACCTGGGTTGGATCGTCCTATCTTCGCACGCCTTGCGGTGATCATACGTAGATCTGGCGAAGTAATATCTGAAATGTAGACCAGAACCTTCGCACGCACCGCGTGGTGATCGAAGGGAGGTATGACGCGGATGATAGTCCAGAAGATCCGCAGTACACAAGCGAGTGTGACCTATCAACACTCAAGCGGACGGCCGCCCGGTCTCGGGCTCTGGTTGCGCAATAAACGCAAGTCCGTGCCTTTGGCTCACCATACAGCTTCGATCTCGAGATCGTCACCAAGTCGTACGTTGTCGGAGAAACAGCTGAGCAGTCTTGAGCGATCCCGTGAAAGCTCAGACGTGCGACTGCGATGCGATCGAAGCCGTGATGTTGGAAATGCTGCGAACCGACGTAGAATTTGCTCCGGAACCGAATGTTGCAAAATGTTTCCGATCCCGACGCGTTGGGATGTGACCAGCTTTTTGGTGAAATATATCGCTTACCGCAGCGACCGCATCCTATTCGGACGAAACCTCACGGGTCGCTTCTTCTGGCTTCCGCGCTCGAGCCTGGAAATCTTTATCGCGATTGACTTTGGTCGTGTGCGTTAGGGCTTGCACATTCAGTGTCGGTGATTTGCGGGCCGCTCTTGTAGTGGCCTCCCACCAACGTTGATATGATCGACGTTGGTTTCGTTGCCTTCATCTCAGACGAGGAAACGAGGGAAGAAGGCCTTGATCACCTCATCTCCAGCTTCCTCTGGCCTGCGGTCCCCCACTACTCCTCAGTAACATAAATCCCACACCCACCGCCATGGCACCAAGGAAAACCCACTGCGGAACAACGATATCCGTGTTCCTCTGCTGGTACCTCCGTGCTTTTTCGGCGTACATCTTCTTCCTCAGCGCACGTTCTTCTTCGTCCACTTCAACATCTTTCGTCTTTCTTTCCTTCAGATTCTCTCCAATCAGTCCATCCCCCTTCTTCCTCTGCATCTCCTTCAGATAATCCCGTATGACGGGATCGTTCTCTTCACTCAGGTCCACAAAATCCCTCTCTTTCATCTCCACTCCCTGATCAAGTGGACTCGCTACATTTAATCCACCTACAATACCCTCTTTCGCCGTCAACTTTTTCTTATCGACGAGCACATCGTCTGGTAGCCACTCTTTCAGGGTGTCTTCTGGTAGCGACCGGAACACAAGACACATCCACATCTCCAATACATTCATTACCAGTTCCGGGTGATCCATCCCCGGTACCGAATGACCATAACCACCTGAGGGAAGCACAGCTAGTACACCAAAAACGTTATAAATGCTCCACTCCAAGGCGTAATAATGCAGACTCGGATGATCTCTTCTGTACCTGAAATTTAAATGCTGCGCCACTCTCACCCGCAGATTATTACTCTGGCCCGCGTAAATCCTCAATCTTTTGTCGACGCCTAAGATGCCGTTGAGGTAGATGGCCCGGCCTTCATGACGCAAATCCCCGCCGAGGTGCTTCAGGGCGTCTAGAGAGAGGCGGGAGGAAAGAAGATGCCAGATCTGAGGACGTATAAGGGAGTAGATGGACTGAGTGAGGGTGGAGATGCTGTGATGCGAGATCCAAGGGGCATATTTGTGGTAAGGGTGCGGTTTGCCATCGTCGGAGGAAGAGACAGGGGGTTGAGAGAGTCTCGTGAGGAGATGTGTAAGAATTGCTCGCGCTTCGAGTTGCACTGGGCTGAACGTCGTCTGGATGGGACGATTAGATGGTGTTGGTGTTGTCGGTGTGCTTGACATTGCGGCAGCTGGAGACATTTGACGACGTGATGGTGTTGTAGGAAGAGGAGAGGAAGCCGGTTCCTGGTAAACTTCCGCTGTCGCCATGATTTATATATCTTCTCAAGGTTTGTAGAACGATACTCGTCGGTCGTGATTGGATGATATTTGTGAGGAGTTAGGCAGCTGTCCTGTAGAAGGCTAGCGTCAAGGCACCAACGTGCAGGTGCGACGAAGCTTGGAAGACACAAACTCAGTACGAGACAGCCGCAGCGGAAATAGTCCCTTACGGAAGTCGACAAATTATATCTGGATGCGCAATGTCGTTGTGAAGTGGAACAGCGTAGGTATGTAGGTCTAGATGTCAGCTCCACCTGGGCGATGAGGCTGGAGCTAGCGCCCTACGAACATGCCGTATCGGGCATCTTCTGAGAAAACCGTCGATAACGGCATCTCTTGAGCATAGCGCCTTAACCACTCGGCCATGACGAATCGCATGCAGGACGCTGTGTTCCTGTCGTATTCTTTCGCCAGCTCTCGAATAGACTCATGCGGCTTGTTTCGCACAAGGCTTCTGATCGATCTTGCAGTCTCTTTGGCACGTTCGTTTTGTAGGTGTAACATGCTGGGTGCTGGCATAGTCCATAGTCCTGAGTAGCTTCATCGCATTGTATTTTACGTACTGAGCGAGGCTGTTGGAAAAGACTTATTGAAGTTCACGTAGAGCATTGGCAAGGCGACGATTCTTATAATCAATTGAAGGCTACGCTCATGTTACACCTGTACATCACACTATGCCCCCGTGCCATGCTCTTACGTCAATATTGTTCGTAAGTGAACTGGTAACACCCGTATTCTGTACACCACGGCCCGTCGTCTTCATATGGTGGCCACTGGTCGGTCCTGAATTTGAGGCCGAGACGTACGGGGTATTGCAAGAAAGTCCCAGGCTCTGCTTTGTCTTTTATAGAGATGTTCTACTCCTCGATCGTCTTGACGCATTCCCATCCGCCGCTGAGCCTCTCCTTCCATAGACTGACCCTGTTGTCGCCGGTGCTGACTGCGAGCGCATTGCCGCTGAGACTCCAGCTCACGCGCCACGCTGCAGCGTCGACGTCAAGCTGGGTGCGCTTCCACTCGCGTAGATCTGATGATGTCCAGATAATGACAGTCTTGTCCTGGGATGCGGAGGCGATGTACGATTTGGAGAGAACGGTAGGGGACCACGCGACGTCGCGTACCCAATCTGCATGACCGCCACTAGTGTATAAAGTTAGCCAAAATTCCATATCGTCGATCCGCGACCATGACTTACAGCGGAGTCGCATTCCAGCTGCCGCTCTCGGGGCTGAACTCCCAGATCTTGACCTGGCAGTCGGTTCCGCCGGTGACTAGCCTCTTCGCAGCGCCTGCCTGGTTTCCGCTTGCGCTGATGACCTGTCCCGGCGCATAGGCAGGTGCCCAAGAAACACTGTTTACGCCGTTGCCGTGAGCAGGGAAGGTCTGATGTGTCCAGTTGTTGTCCTTGAATTCGAGCACCGAGACGTTGCCGTCAGATGACGCGCAGGCAAGGAGGCAGCCTGCCTCGTGAGGAGCCCATGCGACCATGTTGACCGACTGTGTGTGTAGGGCGACCTCGTATATCTTCTGCCAGCTGCCGGACTGCTCGCGCCAGATGAGGACCTTGCCGTCATAAGAGGAGGAGGCGAGGATGTTTCCGTATTTGGGGTGTGCCCATGCTACGCTCCAGACAGCGCCCTCGTGTCTATGAATATCAGCGTCGGGTTCCGCAGGACCATGACTTCTTTGGGAACGACATACCCTCTCAGGGTCTCAACCAGTGTGTGCTTCTCGCCCTCAACCTCGAATATCTTGATGGTCTTGTCCGAAGAACATGTCGCGAGCCGCCTGCCGTAGTAATCCAGTACGGCGTCATGCTGTACCTCGTTAGAATCGGTCGGGGGTGGGTCGATGTCGCCCATTGCGCTGGCTGGTGGTGTGGAAAGTACGAATGTGGGGTGATGATAGAGGCGGATGTGTGTAGAGAACGTACAATCATGTCATCGTGGCCCGAGTTCGCTATAACGTTGGCCTACAGCGGCAGTCGCAAGTTAGCGGACATGATCAGGTTGGGCGCGTTGGTGGGGAGGTGCTTGCCATTTTTGTTGTAGATCAGCTGCGATAGATGGTGGTGAATGAAATGGAGGTCGAGGCGGTATTTGAAGGCGGCGGGATAATTGTGTAGGCAGAAGTATGAGCAGGCGCGTCCAGACGTGTCCACAGCTACACAGTGCCCCAAAGTTGGTTGATGCTGCTGTGGCCTCAATGCAGGGGTCTTGATGAGATAAGATTAGATCGGATCCCAATGACGCGCTAGCACACGCAACACCTGTGGACCACCTACTACCTGAGCATCACATGCAACCACTATTTCCACCACTTCCACTCATCACTCATCATGGCCTATTCTTCCCCGCGCCACTCCCAAAACTTCTACCAGTACGATGCATCAACCCCTCCGCCACCCCCACCAAAGCCAGGACGGTCAAGTGGGAATGCAACTCCATCACAAGGACCTCCATTACCCCCACCCCCGCCAGGTCAATCATCGTATTCGGGAGATCAACAACAGAGTTCGTATTCACAACAGCAGTACTCGCAGACAGGTCCCGAGCAAACGACAGTCCAACCGCCGGACGATGGCTGGCTGCCTGATGTGCTCAAGGACAAACCGTATGCCAACTCTGCGTCGTAGATAATCGCACTACTAAGGTACGAGTAGGACCAAAGACTTGCATCATGTGCTTCAGACGCCAGAATTGCAAAATGCTATAATTCACAATCCTGAGACAACACATCCATCATTACCTGCATCGATTGCACCCTTGCAGGCGCTGCTCGCACAGAATGTAGGGTTGGCAGAGTCACTCAAACAGCTGGAAGCACATGTCCAGCACCAACGAGATAGCACACAGTCACGTTTATTATCACTTAAGGCTTTGGAGCGTCAGTGGAAGGCAAAGCAGGCTGAACAAGATGAGGCACTACGAGAGTTCAGTCCGCCAGCACTCTATCAGAGGCTGAGTGCTTCAGTAGGCGAGCAAGAGGCCTTATGTCGGGGACTGGAAGAAAGCTTCCTCGAAGGCGAAGGTTTCGGTGGTGGGGATGCCGTGGCTAGCGACCGCGAAGTGACAGACTTTGTGAGGCGCTTGAGGGAGGGCCGAAAGATCGCCTACCTTCGAGGAGAGCGCAAGGAGCGATGGGATGAAGGCCGTGTTGGCGGCTGGCGATGAGCGCTCCACCTTGAAGTAATTATAAATACTAATATCAGACCACGCACGCAACGTCGCAGTATGTGTGGAGATGTCAAATTGCCATGGCATGATAGTCATGCGGCGTCGGCAGTCGGGAGCATGCCTGAGAGTCAAGGCATCAGCACATGCGATTCAGGCGGCGAGATATGCAGCCGGCTGTGAATCTAAGATTGCATCTCAGGGGCCTCGTCACCTCCATAAGAAGGATCCTCGCCGTTAGCATAGGCCGAGAGGCTGGACTGGTCGTCATGAGTCGTCGTCGTGAGCACTGTCGTCGTTCGCGGCAGGCGAATATCAGCCACATCCCAGTACAGCTGCCCCTTAGCGTGCTGGCTTCCTCATTTGGATACATCCGTGGTTGTCGGAAAATTGCGCGATGCCAAAATAAAGGTCGCATGCAATCCACTGCAAGCCACCCGTTGCGGGTGTCACATGGCAGGGTTGCAGTCGCTATGCACATGGTGACGGCTGGGATCGAATCTTGGTGGTTCAGCGCCTCATGGAGTGTTTCACGTCGCAGGCAAAGGCGCCTCCGCACGTCACCTGGGCAGCGAGCGTCAACGTCAACTCGACCGGAGCGCGCGACTCTGAGATGTCAACACCCACTTTGCAATTGAGCGTATCCCCGAATCACACTCCGCAACCCACTCCCCACGACGACAGACGAGGCGCCCTCTTGAGCCTCCCCTTAGTCTGCGGCGCCCATTGGCTGGGTAAAAAGTGTACCTGCAGCCATCCTAACCCTAAAAAGCCCCCTGGCGCGGCTCGCTCCACCTCGAGCAGCGCGAACCGCCCATCACGGTCAGGTAGAGCGCCCGAATCGACCAATTCGAGCGCTGCGATCGGCTCAGAGGCCCCTGGGCGCCCCCTTCGCCGGCAGCTGTACCTGGCGAGCTAGGCGGGTCCCCTTTACGAAGAAGCGACTTTTGGCAGACTCTCCACCTCCCTCTGCGCCCATCATTTGTGCACGCCATGTCTATCGCGGGGGGATAATACGAGAATATGCAAGCCGTCCAAGCGTCCCCCGAGGGCGCACATGCTCCCAACGCCTTTGCCTCGCCGCCTCGCCAAAAGGGCTCGTCCTTGGCCTCGATTGCCATCTCGTCCTTTGCTGCTTTTCGGTCCCAGTCCTCGCAA